TGCAGCTAAAACATGGTGGGGCACGTGCTCATATGCTTTGACCAGGTCGAGCAGGGTTGTCCCTGCCGCTCTGCCCTGGTCTCTGGCCAACTCCGCCTTGAAACTCTGCTTCCAAACGCAAATGTCACATGAGGCCCCTGAGTCACCATACCAGAACCCGCGAGGGTTTGCCTTTTCCCAAGGGCCAGCAACTTTCCATCGGGCCCAGCGGGACCACAACCGAAGAGGCGTCGCGAAGATCCCAATAGGACGATCTCCCCCTTCAGGCGGCGGCTTCGGTAGAAGAGCAATAAGCAGCAGAGCCCAGCACCTCGGAATGTGAACCAGGCGCTGCATCTCGGCCCAGATCCGAAGGAAAACCGCGACAGCGCCGTCGTCGAGGAAGGACCAGTGACGGGGATGCAGGCCACAGACTCCGATGGCCGTGTGCGTGCTGTAGGTCCTGGTAAGGGCTAAGAGCTCCTCATGGGTGGGGGCCTCCAGCTCTGGCTCGTCATCGCACCAACCAAAATCAGGCTCTGGGAAAACTTGTCCGACACCCCAATGCTGATGCCACTTTTGAGCCCGAAGATCGGCTTCAGCAGCAATCCCCAGAGGCTCACCAGACGGCCCCGAGAAACAAGAGAGCCCAGATGCAGCCCACTTCGGAACCTCTTTGGTGAACCGGTGGCCCAGTCGAGCGCTCCCAGATAACGCATCTTGAACCCACTCACGCCAGGCTCGGGCCCGCTCCGAGGCCGCATGATGCTCGTGCTGAAGGGCCCACTTTCGGACCTGCCAGATCAACTCCTGGAGCTCCGAGACGTTGGCAGGGTTGACGGCCAGAACCCGAACTCGCCAAGAAGCCCAATGCTTGCAATCGGTGAAGGGGGACAGGTAGTTCACGAGCTTCCGCAAGAGGATCCCCGCTTGTTTGATCCCCCCCAAGGTGGGCGCAGGCCCATGCCAGAGATACACGATGTCCTGGAGTCGCCTTTCCAAGACACGCCACATACGGCCCTCCCCAATAGCCCTGGGGTGAGTGGAGGCAGGGGGGCCGAGCAGAGGGACTTGCACCACCTTGGGGGGGCCTCCTCGGCCTCGGTATCGTGGATCCCCATCGACATGAAATACGCGAGAAAGCGCCACCTCAGCCCTTTGAACCCACAGAGAAGTGACAGCATCCAAACGGTCCTTGGTACAATCCCCCTGGGAGAGCTGATCACGCAAGTCGTCCCACTCCAGGGGGCGAGGGTCGCATCCAACAGGGCGGTGGAGAGGGAACGCCGACGGCTTCTTGAGCCTGGGAACTGTCACCTGCCGCGGGTGGCCAGACATGCTCAACACCACAGGGCGGTGCGGTCTGGTACTGGTAGACCATGTCGCAACTGAGCAGCTCACCACAAACTGCTTGAGCGAGGAGGAGAGGACAAAGTAATCGATGGACGACCGAGACGTACCCAACTGACAGGTCCAATTCGAGACGTCAGAGACCACCTCAGCCTGAAGATCCCCAATCCAACCAGACTCGACCAGTTGCTCCGCTGAAAACTGAAAATCTCCACCCAGAATAAACGGCATGCCATACGCCCTCAGGACCTCCCCAATACTGTGCAGCAAGGAAAGATTTTGACCGCGGCAGCCGATTCCAGTGTGCAGGTAGACCGATCCGACTAAAACACCTCCAGTACATAACCCACTCCAGAGCCCCAGACGAAATCGACATCCAGGAGGAACCGCGATACCCTCAGGCAAATCATCGAGTCCTTTGAGGCCCCAGAGCTTCGAAGTCGCAATGCCCACTCCTCCAGTGGTGCCAGCCTCTGAACGACCTGAGGGGGCAGCAGGAGTGAGGAGTGAGACCATGCCAGCCTTGACCAGCGCCTGCTGAACGTCCACCAAACGTAGCTCCGTCTGGTGGTGCTCTTGGAAAACGTAGATGTCGGCATCCACAGAGTCGCAGAGCTCCAGGAAGGGCCTTCTCGTGACCTTACCCCTGTCCCCGCACTCGATGCCCCACGAGGTGATGTTGGCCGTACACAGCTTCCATACCTCAGGCCGACGGGCCGCAGGAGTCTCCTCCTGCACCGCAGGAGTCTCCTCCTGCACACTCTCGCCTCGAACTCGTCGATGGCCAGTAGCCCCAGCCCGCGCCGCCAGGGAGCGCCACCTGCCTCGGTGTGAGGCGGGCTCAGGCAGGCGGCGTCCAGCAGCTGCAGCGCCGACCCCGCTACCCCGACGGGGGTGGGGCACCAGCGACATCGCGGTCAGCAGGCATAGGAACATCAGCAGGAACATCAGCAGCCGCAGGGCCAGGCGCGGCCGAGGGGGCCGCCGCCGCCGCAGCCTCTGGGCCTGGCGCGTCCCTCCTGGGCCTCTTGCTGAGGGCTGAAGGGTTCTGCAGGAAATCGAGCATGGTCCTGTAGAGACCTTCGTACTGCCCTGCCTGTCCGCCCTCCAGCAACTCAGTAAGTTGCTGCTTGCAATCCTCCGCCACACGTGAGTCCGAGGGTGCCGCTGGGGCTGGCGAAGGGCCGCTGCCCGACATGGCACGCTGCGCGGCCTCCTCGGCCTGTGCCTTCCGCCGTGCTTCCTCCTGCTCCTGGAAAGAGGCCCCAGCAGCAGCCAGGTCGCCCAGGAGGTCCACCGCGGTGCGGAGCTGGTCCGCCTTCGCCACTCTGAACGACTCGGGCAGATGGCCGAACAGCGTCTCCACCAGCCCGTTGACAGCCGCCTTGCAGTCATCACCAGCAGGGTGAAGAGCAGCACGTCGATGGAGCCTCTGGAGCTCCTCCTCTTCCTTCTTGACCGATTCCGCCAGAGCCGCCTGGGATGCAACGCAGTCCTCCAGGTCCTGCTCCAGCTCCGTGATCTGTTGACGGAGGTTGGCCTCCGTCGCCTTCGACGCAGTAAGCTGGCCCTGGAAGTGGGCCAGCTTGTCCTGATGGGACCGAACTCGCATCCATGGCGGTGGGCCACGTTCGTCAGGCTGAGCAGCAGCAGCGGAGGGCACCTGAGCCTTGGCGGCCACCATGAGCGGGTGGTCGTCTGCCAGCCCAGCAAGCGTGAGCTGCTCCACTGCAGCCGCGAGGTAGTCGCGCTGCGTCTGCTTGCCACCTGTGTCCGATCCTTTGCCACTGCGCTGCTGGGCCGAGCCGCCCTTCCCACTCCCAGACTGGGACTGGTCAGCACTCGTGCCTGGGCTCGACTTGGCCTTGCGGCGCGTGGACTCCACCTGTTGCCATGCAAAGAAGAGGCACCGTGAAATCTGGGGAGATATCCTCCTCCTCCTCCTCCTCCTCCTCCTCCTCCTCCTCCTCCTCCTCCCCCCCTCCCTCCTTCTCTCTCCTCCTCATATCCCTCCTCCTCCTTCTTAGCCTCCCTCCTCCTCCTCCTCCTCCTCCTCCTCCTCCTCCCCCTCCTCCTCCTCCTCCTCCTCCTCCTCCGCCTCCTCCTCCAAGCCATGATGTCCCCCCCCACTGGGTCCTCACCCCCCCCCTCTTGGCCGCCCCCCGATGGCAGACGCACAAAGAGCGCTCGGCCGCGGGGCGGGAGCGGGCTCGCAGCCGGGGGCGAAGTGGACGGCGTGGCCCTCGAGGCCTCGGCCAGGGCGGGCCTCGGAGGCATTGAGGAGGAGGAGGCATGGGGAGGAGGGACGAGGTCAGAGGCACGGGGAGGAGGAACGGGGAGGACTGGGAACGGGGAGGAGGAGGCACGGGGAGGAGGAGGAACGGGGAGGAGGAGGCACGGGGAGGAGGAACGGGGAGGACCGGGAAGGATGATGGAACGGAGGACGGGGAATGTCGGGGGCGCGCAAGCATGGATTAACGATCCGTGGATCTGGCGCGCAGTCGGCAGAACCATGGATCGGGGGAGGTGCCCTCCCCAACATGCGGCCAGCGCCGCCTCGCTCGGCGGCGGCAGTCCGCGATTTCCTATTGAAACGGGACCCGCCGCTAGTCCACGCCCCCTTAATCCATGTTTGCGCTCGCCTGAGGAAGGATGATGAAACGGAGGACGGGGAGTGGAATGAGGAGGCCCAGAGGAGGGGGAGGAGGAGAACAAGGCGTCGTCCTCCCCCTTCTCATCCCTTCCCCTCCTCCACCTCCTCATCCTCCTTCTGATCAGCTTTCTGGATGTGGGTTGTGAAAATGTTAAGAAGCCCCGGCGCTCATCAAGGTCATGTGGAGGCTGCTGCAGACCAAATGAAGAAGGACGGAGGAGGGGGAAGGACACGGAGGACGTCAATGAGGACGGAGGAAGCATGAATGAGGAGTGTGGTGTTGGAGGGTTGATGTGGAAGGGAGCGGGGGAGGAGGTAAGGGCACGCTAGGTGCGCTCGCGTCATATCTGACATCCTACCCCTCCCTCCCATCCCTTACCATGGCGTAGATCCCCTCTCTACTCGCACAGTCGGATGTCGAGCAGGGCAATGATCCCGAAAGGGTACGCGATGCATTGTAGAGCACGGCATGGCATGGCGTAGAAGAGCACCGCAAGCGTAGTATCAACCTAGCATTGCATTGCATGCCGTGGCATGGCACGGGAAATGACGCCAGCGCTGCAGCGGGAGCACGAGTCGGAACGAGCGGAAGCGCGGAAATGAGGCCAGCGCTGCAGCGGGAGCACGATTCGGAACGAGCGGAAGCACGGAAATGAGGCCAGCGCTGCAGCGAGAGCACGATTCGGAACGAGCGGGGCCCGAAAATGAGGCTGGCGCCTCAGCGAGACCAGCCTTTTGGAAAAAAATGCAGGCGAAAACCCAACTCCGGGGAATCCTGTGTAAAAAACAATACGCGGGGGGGTCTAATACTTTCAAACCGTAATCAGGGGAAGAGGGAGAGTAGTATTCATATTGAGTAATTGTGAAGAAGGGGAAGTCGGGCGAAGGAGTCCGAGGAGAAGGGAGGAGGGAGGTTTGCGAGGGGAGGAGGAGGAGGAGGAGGAGGAAGAGGAGGAGAAGGGCTGGGGTCGAGGACGGAGGCGCCGGACGGGGGCGAGGAGGGGAGGCGGGATCGAGTCTTCGAGTCTTCGGGCCAGGACCGCACCCCCGCCGAATGCCTCGAGTGAACGCCGAGCTCGCTCTGCGCACCCAGTGCCGGGGGAGGTTGGCAGGGACGCCGGGCGCGGCAGCGCGGCCGGCGGGCTGCGCCCCTGCCTCCCCCCTGCCTCCCCCCGCGCTTCCCCTCCCGCTGCCCTTTCTCCCTCCCTCCCTCTTGCTGCCCCCCACATCACTCGCCCTCCCGCCTCCTCGATCCCTCCAGTCTCCTCCCCACATTGCCATCGTTTCCTCACTTCTCTCTCGTCCGTCTCCCCTTCTCCGCCCCGCACCTCCTCCTGCCCCCCCCCCCCCCCCCCCTCCTACCCCCCCGCCCCTCTCTTCCGTGCCCTTCCCTCTTCTTCCCACTTGCCTCCTCGACCTCCCCTCGCTGCCCATCACCCCGCAGCCCTCCATCCCCCTTTGCTCTCCAATCCTCCCTACCTATCTTCCCCTGTCTTGGCCACGCGCAAAGGGGGTCAAGGGGGACGGGGAAGGCTTCTGAGAAGCAGGTCTGGGGAGCTTCTGAAAAGCCTTCCCCCCTTCCCTTTCCCCAAAAGGAGGATGAGGAAACTGCTTCTCTTGCACCCCTCATACGAGCTAATCCCCGAAACCAGTTCTTGCGCTTGGCTCTGGCCGGGGGTGGATTCACGAGGGGCAGCATGCTACGGCGCTAGCACGGGAGGCGGCTCGCAACAGCCTCAGGGTCTCGGGGCGAGGAGGAAGGATGCAGGACAATGATACGCAGAGGCCAACAACTTCGATGCTCGTTTTGGGGACCTTCTTGTGACCCACCTAACGGATATGTTCGACTCTAGCTCGACCCCAGTTCGACTCAAGGTCGACTCAACCTCGACTCAGGGTCGGCTCAAGCTCAACGCAGGGTCGACTCAAATCGACAGACATTCGACGAAGTTTCGACGCACGAGTGCAGCGAGTGTTTTCAGGAACGTCCCCAGAATGAGCATGCGAAGGAGGAAGGATGGGGGGGGTGATCGTATGGGGAGTGAAAGAGAAGCAACTGCATCGCCCATCTCCAAAGGACCAAGAGAAACAATTTCCTCCTACACAGGACCAAGAAGGCGCCGCCAGGGGGTCCCAGCATAGATCCAAGAAATCCGCGCGGAGAGGCAAACATTCATGATTATGGCGCTGTTTCTTCTTCGATCCTGATTATCATCCTGACGCCGGCTCTGGAGGCCGGTTAGGGTCGAAGCATTCCGTCTACTCCTGCTGCTCCTCCATCTTCAAACTTCTGCGATCAGAGGGGGGGTGCTCCCATCGAAGCAAGGTGTCTCCGTAGTGCTTCACAGTCGTTCCGAATCTGGACCTGGATCCTCCTTCTCCTCTTGATCTTCCTCTTCCCTCCCCCTCTCCTCCTTCCTCTCCTCCTTCCTCTCCTCCTTCCTCTCCTTCTTCCTCTTCGTCTTCCTCTTCGTCTTCCTCTTCCCTCCCACCATCTCCTCCTTTTTGTTCCTCTTCATCTTCCTCTCCTCTTTCTTTCCTACTCTGGGAGGAAAGGTCGAAGGAACGTTCGGGATCCCGTAGCGTCCTCCTATGCGAAAACAGGAATGAGCGCGACGATGGAAATGTAAAGAAGCATAGCCAGTGAGGACCCCTACCAGTGAGTTATTGCACTGTGCAGGTGAAAGCTATGCGGTTTAAGATATGCTGTGTTCGAGACGCGGCGTAAGCTATGCTGTGAGAGCTGTGTGGTACAACAACTGCTGTGTGAGCTATGCTCTGTGAGCCGTGCGGTGTAAGCTGCTAAGCTGTTTGCTGTGAGCTATAGCGCGTAAGATGTGTGACGTGAGCCGCATGGTCTGAGCCAAAAGGTGGAGGCGGTGTCGTGCGCGGGGCGCGCCTGTGAGCGCATCGCGAGCACCGGGCGAAACATCGTCGGCTTTGGACAAACCTCCCTTTGGTCAACCTCCCTTTGGTGAAAACGGCCTGGGACCGAAACCGACGGACCTGGACCCGCAAAAATGACGGCCGCGACGCCCCCTCGCGAACCGAAAACGGCCAATTCCTTGATCGACGTGTCAGGGCAGGAGGTTCGGGGGAGCGTAACACCCGGGTTTGCCGGGACTCGGGTTCGCCATCGTTTTTTGACGACCGCGACTCGGATTTTGACGAGGAGGAGTTTCGGGGGATGTCTGCAGCGGGAGGCCTCGTCAAAATGCAGGCTCGGGCTCGTCATTTTTTTGACGACCTCGTCGGGGATTTCCGAGTGGCCCCGTACCCGGGTCTTACGTCTCCCCGAGAGGTCTGTCCACCCCCGACCTCGGCATGCCCCCGCAGCACGGGACGCCCACGAGGCGCCCACGGGCGGGCACCGTAGGCGAAACCTCGGCACGCCCAGCGGCGCGGGGCGCCCACGAAGCGCTCACGGGCGCCCAGCAACCGTGCACCAGCGGAGAATCCAGAACCGAAGGGGTCCCAGGACACACAAGTAAAGACACACAAATAGCAGGATTTCCGAT